GATACCGAAGGTTCTGGAGTGATGTAGACTGTGCGTTTCTCTGAAACGTTCGTATCTTCTTACGAGTCTACACGGCGTCAAAACCCAGAAGATCGTTATCTTCACCGCTGTAGATCTCTCATCTGAGTTTGCGCACTGTTACTTCTTCCAACAACTGAAACTTATCATTATTGCTCTTATCATGATCTGAAGTGTTTTCATTTTAATTTTTGCCTTTGCAGAAGTGTTTACATATAATTTCTTCTGTCGTCTGCCTTCATAATTTTTCATGCATGTGGACTCCGTACAAATCATTTCCATCAGCTATGCGCTGACTCACAGTCGGCGCAGATCTCGTCTTTGCCTTTCTTTGTTGTTGTTGTTGTTGTTGAAAGTATTTTGTGGACATTTGCAGATTAACATGGGATTTTAATACACATTATCGGGTGGCTGTAAGTTGGAAGTGGGGATCTCGGCACAGAATTGCGTAGAATAAAGATGCAACTTTCAAGCAGTGCCAGATCTATCTCTTCCAGCTCATTGCCACCTCGAACTTCTCGTCACTTCCGTCTGCACTGCGCGTCCGGATCGGTGGTACTCTTGCTCGCTGCAACACATGGTCTGGGTGCGTTCTAGAATGTTAGGTGAGACATAAACCATCGGAAATTTAATCAAGTGTCAACTTAAGAAGTATTCTTGTGTAATACAAATGTCTCTTTTAAGGGACTGCATCATTTTGACAGTATTTGCTCACGAATAGACCAAAGGTACAGCGAAATGTTCGCTTAGAATATTAACAGCGTTATTGATTATATTTCATGTGGTTATCTGAATGCTGTGGTTTTATCAGTGCCAGATTATAGGGTGCCTTTTATTTGTGTTTCCTCCAGTTGATAAAGTTGCTTGGGCTCGTGCCATATGGTGGCCTCACTCATACTGATTCTCAATTATTCCTGAAATTGAGAAGCGAAATTTAAACTGTGTAGAAAAATCAGAAGAGATATATTTTTTTATAAGACATTAAATCGTCGGTAATTTCATAAGAAACTGTTTTGTGTTAAATTTTAGGAATTTCTAGAAGTAATCAGTCGGCTTGATGTATTTATTTGCTATTTTTATCATGTGTTGAGCCGTGATTGTAGTTTCATTTTATAAATTTATTTAAATGTTACGTAATGAATATCTGTATTCAGATACGAAGTGGTTAATGGACTAAGTGGAGAAGTGGTCTCTTCACTTTGATTTGAAGTGAGATTCAACTCCTCCAACTTATTTCAGCCACTGAATACATCCGTCCTCAAGGAATTGTTCACCAATAATTGTGAAAGTCTGCTGTGTGTGTTGTTTGTACGGGGATACTGACTAACAGTTTTCTTAGGATGTAGTGCGTATGCAGAAATCAATGTTTCTCACGACCTACTCTTCAGCTTGGCAAGCAGGTCTGCTCAGACCGCTGGTTGGACGTTCGGATCACCAGATTAAGAACTCGCAGGCGTTTCCTCGAAATTTACAGTCAATCAGCTTGCAAGAAACGGACATTATGGTGAGTTTTGACGTGGTTTCGCTGTTCAGAAAAATCTCGGAGGATACACTGCAGCTGCCGTCACGATATCCTCACAAAAAAAAAAAAACTGTTGATCTCGCAAGACACATTTTCACGTCCAGTTGCTTCCTCTTCGATGGTTCCTTTTACGACCAAGAAGACGGGGTCGCCGTTGCCAACCTCTTCTGCATGGAGCGTTTTGAATTCTAGCTCTCCTGAGATCGGATGGGTCACTGGGAAGACATCAGGACTGTTAATGTTTGGCGAAGGAGTATACGTCGGCCAGACTTGGAGGGAGGTTCGTCGAGGTTAGATTCGGAGAGCATGCGAGACATAGACTGCGGTTGCTGAGCACGGCATAAACGCGGGGCATCGCATTGACTTCAGCAGCCCCGTCGTGTTAGACAAAGCAGCATTTTCATTGTAAGCACCGCCTCGTGAAGGAAGCAACTGAACTCCTGGGAACTTCAACAGAGCCACGCCCGGCCCAATGTAACGAACATGTTTTCCAGTCATTCTGCGCGCCAACGCCTATTGGCGAACGTGCAGCTTTGCCCACCCTTTCTGGGGTCAAATCCAACAAACCGAAATCCTTTTCACAAAGGACAAGTTTGCCTGACGGGATAACCTTCCATCAGCATCAACAGACCCCGGTTTGAATAGTCGAGGCTTCCGCCACGACAAACCTCCCGTTTTCATCATTTCCAGTCATTGTATTCTGGGTTGTGATGACTTGCAGTGTTGTAAGTGGTTACCAGCATTTCAGAGGAACATGTACACTGAAGATGGAGGCAACATATTCCTCCAAAATATTGGTAACCACTACAAGGCCGTATGGTGTCCCAACCCAGAAGTCCACAATTCAAATCTAGAATTATATTCACAAATAAATTATGAACAAAAAATTAAATTTGGAGAATGTTCTCCTTTTGGGAGTAATCCAGAAATATTTGTGTGTAGACTCCTACCCCAGAAGAGAGAGGGCGAAGAATGCACAAAAGCCATGTGCTTCCACCGTTGCTTATAATTGGAAAATGAATATGTCTTCTAATCACTTTGTAGCAGAAGAGAAGAAGACTGTTTTTGGTTGGAACAGAGTACAGAAAATAGTGGAGTACCTGTCAGTTGATGTTAAAATAACTTTGCAGTAGGTGACATGTTTCTCTGACTGCTGTTTCGTTTATAATTCCTGTATTTTAATAAATGAAAAAACTGAATGTCTAAGGGTTCTATTAAACTTATGTACTGATTATCCCAGTTTCTGTGGGACCATTAATACCTGTTTTTGTGTATTATGTGTTGTAATTATTATGTATTAAAATTCCAAAAACTTTCTCACACTTGTTTCTCTGTCATTCAGATGGCTCTGCTTCAGGTATGAACGTTGAATTGGTCAGAATGCGTAGTGTAAACATTTACGTGTTATCTTTCGACACCAAAGATTAATTTAAAATATATTCACGTGTTAGGTAGAGATGTATCGTGTATCGATTTTGTGAATGTGACAGACCAGAAAGAAAAGTTGGTTGTACTCTACGCATTAATAAATAAAAAGGCCTTTAAACAATTGTCATCCGTCGCATGTGTTCACTCCTCGTCTTACACGTAATATCCTGTCATTACTTATCACCACTCCTACCTGGGTGCAAAGGCACAGAAGTATATAACTTCATGTAATTCTCTTCAGGTGTAATTGCCATCCGCCCAGGCGAATCATAGTCATGCCAAATATTTCATTATTTCAGTGCAGCTTATTTTTAAAACATTAACACTGATATTTCATTATTTTAGTGCAGCTTATTTTTAAAACATTAACAAGTGATTTTATATTTCTCTAATCTGACAGGCAACACAATAAACATAATACAAAAGAACAACAGATATACACCTCAAAAATTTGCAGTCAATCTCTGTAGTTAATCACGGTACTGCGGAAAATGATAAAAGCTGGTGTATGTTTGAAATTTGGAATTGACTTTTTCCTCACCCCTTTTTCTTACTTCTATCCTGCAGATGGAGGTGATATGTTCTTGGTGTATGTTTGAAATTTGGGACTTTTTCCTCATCCCTTTTGCTTACTTCTATCCTGCAGATGGAGGCGATATGTTCCTATGAAATGTTGGTAACCATGTACAAGCCACAACACTACAGTCGACATGTTAATATTCTCATCGTGCAGCAAACTATTTTTAGACGTGTATATGGTCTCGTTCCCTATCTGGTTTCATATTTGTAGCTGCAATGATTTGTTGGCTATCATAATTTTGGAAACTTGATGCGTGCATTTGCCATAATGCCATTTATGGTTTTGGGTGCAGATACTCTGAAGAAATATGCACATTTTTGAAAGTTATATTGCCATATAAAATATCACACACTTTCACTGAAGGATTTTGGTCTTAGTGCTATCTCAAAGGTGTTTTAGTGTTCTTGAAGACTTTAATGCACATTGAATTGTAGTTACGAATAGTGGTTTAGACTTTGTTAGGGGGGGACAGCATGACAGCTTGTGATTATTTTTTATATATCTCCCTTACATTATGTGACATTGATGTATCAACAGCTTTGTTTATGTGCTGTTGAGTAAAATATTTGAGGGCAGAGGTGAATGTTTAGTTGGAAAGTAAGAGAAGAATTAGTGGCATTTTTCAGGCATGATGCCACAAATTATTAACGTACAACAGTTGATCACCATCCGACATTTTGAACCCGAGAACAATGAGATCTCTGGGGACGGTGCGTTTATGTACTAACCTAAGTGTAAGTTTAAATGGAGGTAATGCAACACTGACATAAAGAGGCTGGGTCAATTAAAATCATACTCTACATGAGTTAGAATTCGTAAGTATTAAATGGAGTTGCCACTGTACCATATAAAATGACGCAGAGATTGTGGCATGGTGTCACAGTATTCAGCAGAGCAGTGCAGATCTTGTATTTCACATTTTTGGAAGCATCTTTGGTTTTCCTCAGCCCTACGTACAAATCGTATAGATGCCAATTATGGTATCTTGGAACCTTTACCCTTTCATAGACGATATTCTTCATTATCCTACTGAACTCATGTGATGCTTCATAATCCCAGCAGTTGATATGGCACTGTGAGTGGCAGAAGATTCAGTAGAGTGTCTCTCGTTTTAGGACCATGAATGTAGTTCATGATGTGATGGTGTTGATGATTGATGTACGTATGAGAATTCTTGACTTAAATTTTGTAAGTGGTAACAGATGTCATTGATTTGATTAATTTGTCCCTTCTGAGCCATGGGTCCAGGTCACAAGAATCCCATGAAAAACATGAAATTGCTGAATATTTATGCATTCATTTAAGTTAAGTATTCTCAGTGCCTCAGCCAGTATAATACAATTTATTCAAATTAATAGTATATTTAAATGTGATGTATTTCTTTGTTGTGAATATTTACTTGAATCTTCAAAAATTATACGTACTAATGAGGCCTCTTTCTTTGCTTTGCAGATTTGCCGAGTTGATGCTGAATGTATTTCATCTCTTCTTACCTTTCAACACCTTAGCCTGATGTGTCGCAATGCCAGAGTCCGATCCCCAATTGGAATTTCACCTCTGAATGGGGTAGCAAGAAGTTCTCCACTTGATCCAATTGGGTAATTTGAGTAATTTGAATTGGACACAAAAAGCCTGTTTTTTCTGTAAGACTGCAGGGCAGTTCTGATGTGTTATTGGATACAAAAAGCCTGTTACTTTGTTTTTTCTTTAAGACTGCAGGGCAGTTCTGATGTGTTTGTCACAACATGCAGCTAGTGGGGACAGAGACACAACCAAATTGGGTTGAGTGATGGAGTAGTGTGTGGCACTGTCTTGAAGCTGACGGCTCACTCTGTCTGCTTCACAGATCTTGAAAACACAAGAATTCTAGCACCATGCCCCTGTCCACGTTCACAGACATACAGAGGCCTTGCACCTGATTATTCTTGATTATTGTGCATGTTACGGTACTGATATAACTTTTGCTCTTGTATTTATTTATTTATTTTCATTTTTTGTAAATATAGGTACAGCCCAAATGTGGTCACCTTGGCAGAACAAAGGATTCACTATATACCATTCGCCTTCAATCTTATGAATATTCTTCCAAAATGCCAACAAGCTGAACTGCTGTTCTCTATGTTTATTCAAGGTAATTTTATGTGTTATTACTCTGAACCGTATATTAACATTAGGAAATAATGAACTCCATTAAGCAGAGTCCTTCTTGAGAAGCTGATTGATGCTCACCTAGTCCAGAAATCCCCACCTTTTATTCACCCTGAAAGCAACAGCCCGCCACTGATCCCTATCCTGAGCTAGATGAATTGAATCTATACCCTCCAACCATGTTTTTGTAAGATCCATTTTAATATTATTTTCCTGTCAGCACCTAGATCTGTATCTATTTCTCATCTCCGCATGCATGCTGCATGCATTAACCTTCTCATCATCTTTGATTTAATCATCCTTATTTGGTAAAGAGGACAAATTATGGAGCTCCTCTTGCAATTGCCTCACCTAATCCCCTTTATGATCAAATATTATTCTGAGCTCCCCATTCTCGTATACTTTTAATGTTTGCTCTTCCCTTCCCTTAGCAAATCCCTTTTTTCTGTGTTTACAGATTTTAGTTTCATTGGCAGCTCAGACTCGCTTGCGGCAACAGCAGATGCTCCCAACAAGCTACTCAGTGAACTGCTCTTTGAGCAGCTAAAGCAGATTCATGACAAGGAGCTGCATCTGACGCTGGATGATTCTGTGTGGTTTCTGCAGCTGCTACAGACGAGACAGCGCGATGGGGCTGCTTACTCGCTTCCTATCCCCCTACCTCAGTCTCGTCATCCAGCGAGGAAGATTGAAGGTTAGTGCTCTTTATGTATCTTAACGTTATATTTAGTTACTCTCATGTGAGAGCATGTATCAATGAAGCGAATAAATATGAACCATATTGCAGGTGTGAAATTTTTGTTTTTATGGTGGTAATCGTGAGTACTGAGTAACAAATTGTTTCTACTTACCTGATTCTTTCAGTATAGGTTACTGCTCAAACTCTGCTGACAGGAAGTGTTGAGTATCTGTTACCATCTTTGAGTGTGTTTCTCTTAAATGAGCTATGAGACGTGTTCCATGATAGCCCGAGTTGACAGTCACTTAACGCTACAGCCATATTATCACATGAAAGGCTCCTAAGTGATAGACATTTGTGAGAGGAAAAAATTGAGAATAGATTGTTTCTACATTCTGTCCATGTTGAGAGTGTTAATGCAGTGAACTTTGTTTGTTGTTTAGAGAACTAGGAACTGTGTCACATTGTTCTTTTATTACGGTATAATCTACAATACCATGGAAATGCATTTTAAAAAGATGCTGTACTTTTATAGTTCTCTATATCTCTGGAGCCTGTAATTTGTAACCTGTAAAGCTTCAGGACAAAATGCTACCTGATGTGTTATTAAAATATGTAACCAAGTACATTCCAGATTATACACTCCTGAGATCATAAAATATAGAACTATAAAAATACAGAATCTTTCAGAAGGCAAATCTTTGTGTAACTTGTTTGTTGCAGATACAGATCACCAGAATCATTCCTGTGGAAACAGTGTAGCCTCAGAGGCCACAGTGTGTGACAAAATTGGTAAGGTTCCGTTGCTGGTACCCAAGTGGCGATGTTTCCTGAAAGGCGTCAGCTCAACTCACATTGTTTTGACCTTTGTGCCTGCCAGCTACAGTGACCTCAAACTGCTTATGTTGCCTGAACAGTCACTGGATGAAGCACATTCGAATGCTTTGAAGCTGATAGTGTTGCCTCCAGGGCAGAATGGAACAGAAGTAATGAGTGCTGCTAAGACTGATGTGTGGGCTGACACCAGTTCTGTTTTGCCAATAAAGAATACTCCGATTCTTCCCTCAGTAGATCACAATACTTCATTTCTCTCTCGAAGCTCTTCATGTGACACTTCATACATCTTTAGCAAACTTCCATTTGCCAATCATCTTAGGTCTGATTCGTGCTCCCCTCTCTCATTTGATCAGCCTGAGGTTACAAACAATCCTCCATTTCGAATGAGGGCCAGTTCCTGGGACACTGTCACAAAACATGCTCGTGAAAGCTGGGATCGCATCCGCACAGGATCCATAGACTCAAAAATTAAAATGAAGCAGCCTTTCATTGGACCATCTCTGAGGTTACGTGATGTAGCGACAGACGTGGAAGAAAACAAGAGCTGTCATGGAAAATGCCCTTTCGCTTTGTCACAGAATGTTACCTCTGCCCCTCCTAATCCATCTCCGGATTTGAACTTCTTTGTCACAAAATGTTACCTCTGCTCCTCCTAATCCATCTCCGGATTTGAACTCGGAGCATGGACTCTTACACGTTCCAAAATATGGTGCCATTACACTGCCAGTATATGTGTATGACTGTCCCTTGGCCAAGTTGATGGATGTTCTGGTGTACAGAGACACAGATGCTGAATGTGATAATAAAGTTAGCCAAGACATATACCAAGATAGAACTTTCAAAGTGCCTGTTGTTACAAATCCTATGCAAAACCAGACTCGAGGTGATGTTGAATTGAGAACAGGTGCAGGGACAGTTGATGGGGGAGAAACAGAATCGCATCGAATAGCGATGGATGAAGTGGTGACTCACGCAGCTGCAAAGCATACGAGTCCTGAGCCAAAGTCAGAAGATTCTGATGGAGTACCAGGTGAGTAGCTCAAGTGTTTCTTCTGATTTTACCTTTGTAAAATCATTACAGTCATGAAACTTCATTTGAGAGTCAAAAGAATGTTAAATCTGTTGGTACCTGTAATTAGCACTAGGTTTTAAGGAGTTTTTAATGACTGTTTCATGTATTTCATTCGCGTTGTTCCCTCCATGCCGGGAGTCTCAAATCTTGATTTGTTTTAGATATTCCAAGTCTCAGTCAGCACTGCAGGGTCATTAGCCTTGCATATTACAAGGTTTTTGTTTCTTCCCTCTTCAAGTCACTTCATTTGAATAACACAGTCCATGCTCTGGATGTCCAGGCGGCTGTGGGTGAGTGTGAAGAAGCTCTCATAGAGATTGACATCACCAATTTCATACAGGTGAACTTTGTCATTAGTTGTAAGCTTTATTATGAGTGTTTGAATTATCTAAAATCTCATCTTCTTATTTTTTGGAAATAGTAATGTTATTGTAATATATATTCAGTGAATATAGTTTAAATTTGTCCCAAATTCCTAGCAGAGCATGATACTACAACTGCTTCTACTCTTCATAAATCTGCGAGCGGTTCTAAGTAATATCACCATATTCAGATTGTGTGAAAAACCTGCGACTAATGTCAGCTAGATGTTTTATGTTTTCATGCTTAATAAAATATATAAATATTTAAAATAACCGTCAATCACAATAAAATTTAAAGATTAAAAGATTTAAAATATATATAAAATATCTAAAATATATAATATATATAATATATAAAATATATATATATATTTTAATCTTTAAATTTTATTGTGATTGACGGTTATTTTAAATATTTATATATTTTAATACTATTCACAATATGACGCATCTACAATACCTTATGCTTAATAAAGTACATTATTTCTTGTAGGATTTCTTCATTCTAATTGAAAAAAGGCTAATTATATTATCTGGTGTAATTTCCTTACAGTGTTTATTAAATATTTTGTCTTTTGTAATTTGTTAATATCAATGAAGTATTCATTTCTGATGTTCAACCCTTTTGCTGTTATCTAAAATGGTCATATGGCTTTGTATTGGTCTGTATTCAACCACTTGTCAGAACTTGGTTGTCTGTGCAGTATTTTGTTTGTAAGATTAATAATTTAGGTAGAACACTAAGTTTTAACTTAATTATTCATTTGTTTATTTTGGCAGTTTATATTGAAGAAAAAAAATATTACGTTGGTGTGTATGCATGTTTATACTTTGTAACACGTGGCACGCATTCTTCAGTGGAACCTTTTGGTCCTTTACAAAAGGGTTTACTTCCAGTAATACAAATGCAAGTTTTGTTGATATTCATAATGGTAGTGTGGAAGCCTTCAGAAAATGTTTGTGTTTGGCGCAGACTGTCTGTGGACACCTGAAGGATTTTTGTATGAAGGCAAGAGTGGACGGAATGAAGCACAAGAGCAATGACAACAGTCCGCAGCATGAACTGAAGCCTGCACACGTAAGTGGAGAGTCGGGACAGAATGCTGCGGCAGAGGCAGATGTGGAACCCAAGTTTCCTCTGCTGTTACTGCAGACTCATGCTCCATGCCAGCAACTTGAACTCCTGCACAAACAGATCAAGGCCAAATTTATGCAGATCCTCACCGTCATGTTCAGGCCGGTTCCTTGTCACCCAGAGTTCTACTTCTGTACTTCAAATTGTGAAAAGAATCAGTTGGTAAGTTATTTTTATTGCTAGTTGTTCTTTATCAACTCTTCACCATTAAAAGGACAACAGGTAAATGTTGTTTAAGGAAATATCCTTGTTCAAGTTGAGAATCATTTAAAACCCATGTATGCAAAATTAAAAATTACTTATTGTTAAAGCAAGCGGTACATCTCTAAAGGGTTATTTTTTACCCATTTCAGATTCATTTAAATGTTGTTTGCCCTCACTTTTAAGTGATTACAAAGTTGATGAAAATTTCTTACCTGTTAAAAAAGTATGAATTTTAAAACTAAGCCATCAGCCAACATAGAACGTCTTAGGTAATGATCACCAGCCTGTTTTCTTGTCATTTACTGTAAAAATTATTTCAGATATAAGAATTGTATATTACACATCTATATCCCAAACTGTCTTCAAAAATATTAAATAGTAATGTTTAAATTTGATGTACTTTAACTTAAAAGAAAGTAAATACAGCTAATAAAAGTCTACATTTCTCCTGGTATTAGAACTAGTGTTAATGTATGTTAATGGTCCAGTACGATGCTGACATCACTGGTGTAAACCGCTATCATCAGGCAGGTAAATCAGCGGTGAAAAATGTGTAATTCAATTTTCTTTAATAAAAAGTTTGCATTTTTTTCAAACATTCCAAACAAATGATGATTTACTGTATTGTATTTATTATTTACTGGTACAAATGATATCTAGATGAAAGTGTAGAAGCTGATGACAAACAAATGCCCTGTATTTTGCTTTACTATACGGCTGTCTGTCATCACATGTTCAAAGTTTTTCTGTTTGCGTGTGTTTGGTAAATAGGTGGTTTTTATTGTATGAAAAAGTTATTGTTACAGGGAGATCAAGTTGAACTGAATGAAGATGATGGTCAAGCTCAGAAACCATCAGAATTAGATTACGAACTGGACAATGTGACTTTCCATTCGGAAATTGCGGAGTTCAGATCAGAACATGGTAGTGTCATAGGTAAGTAACTGACAATCTGGAGTTGGAACTGAAGGTTCTGCAGTTTACACGTATTTCGGTTTGTATATATGCAGGAGGCGGGAACACCTATAAGGCGGGACTGTTATGTCTTCGGTGTATCGGCTTATAACATGCAGTGCGCATAACCGACAAAAGCCAATTTCAGCCGATCTCGTGTGTATGGTTTGTCGTCTCTAGAATAAAATTCTTTGAGCAAATCAAAAATGTATGTAATTAAAAACAATGAACCACTTTGTAGAAATAAGGATTAAAACATCCCTTAAAACTAAAACAGGATTATTTGTTGCTGCTAATGAGCACTAAAAGTGGTGTTATATATTTTTTTTACTGTTGTTGTTATTATTATTATTATGCAGTCAGTAAATAGTTATGTCTCACAGTTACTTCTGTGTGAGATTGGATGTCAGTCACAAGGTTAGAAGGAGGTGTCATGAGGAACAGAATCATGTGCTGTTTTGCACACAGTGATTGTTGTTGTTGTTGTTTCTGGGAATTGCAGGAATGTGGGGAGGCCAGGGCAGACTAGTGACCCCAGACGATGCCCGCACGTCACTGCTGTCTAACATGGACTCGGACAGTGTGAGTGACTTGCATGATGAAGAAACCTCAGAAGAAGTTTCACCTCTTTTCCTTCATCTGACATGTTCAGTTCGTTCAAAGGGGACGCTCAGTCGTTGTTCAGTTCATGTATTACCAACTTGTCTTGGTTAGTATAAGTAGATAATTATTCTTATGATCAGAAGTAAAAAATAATTGCTTCCTATTAGCAGTTTATAAATGCTATTATTTAGTATTAGCACCCCCTTGATGCATTTGTGGTTGATAATACAGTAGACTGCAGATTGACTTCTGTTTCTTTCATCATGTTTACTTGGTTACTCCCATTTCAGTACTAGTTTTTATGCTGCTGCTAAAGTTCTTTTGTGTAATATTTAGTCTGTTGAATGATATTTATTGTCAGAAGGCGTCTGTTCAAAATAATTAATATTGACATTAAAATATATAATAGAATTCAGGTCAATACACAAACTTTATTTACAGATGTTAAAATTTAAAATTTGCGCCATTCATCGCTACAACGATGTTACAATACAGCGCTTTCATTCACTACATGTTTCGATGCGAAGCATCATCTTCAGGTGTTATCATTTAACCTTAAACTTAATATTGACATATATATTGAAGTTTTTGTTTATAAACTGCACTATCCACATGCACAGGTATTGGAAAATGTTGATTGTGACACTGCTCGGTCTTGTAGGTGGTCACAGGTGGCCCTCCAAAACATTATGATGGAATGTTGGTAACCACCTATAAGACACAGTGCCACAACCCAGAAGACATTAGTTGACATCTTAACTGCAGTGACAACCACAAATCTTAGATGATCTTTGAAAAATGTTTTGGTATACATCCTGCCAGTAATGACATCAGTACATTATTTGATTCTTTGATACGCTAGTTAATTACAGAATTATAATTTTTGAGCAGGTTTCACTCTATTAAAATTTAAATTTCTGTGATAATTTTTTTGCTGTGTCCATATTCTTTCTCTTTTAGCGGTGTGGCTCATGTATTTATTTTTCATACGGAGTAATAAAAAAATGGCAGTTACAGTATATTGCTACTGTTTTCTTACCAGGTGAACTGGTTCAGTCCCGGGATTCGGATGAGACCGAGCTAGACCTGAAAGAACTGAGAGTGGCCCTTGACATTGTGTGCCTCACACTTCCAGTTGAAATGGAAACAGAAGTTGTGGATGAAGATAACTTAAAGCATCTCAGCAAAGCCTCTCCTGTTTTCCCCCCATCTCTGCCTCGTGGGGAGGAATGTGATGGGCTTGAAACAGATGAATGTGAAGCACCAAATTGTCTGGGTGGCAGTGTTAGTTCAGGAGACTGTTCAGCGTCCCCTGATCCACAGTAAGTTCTGTCATGCAACCTGTAATAACATGAAGATGTATATGTGTTTTGATGAAATGTGAAAGGCAATGAATTTTGGTTATTCATGTAGCTTTACTGAGCCATTACCCTGACTTACTGAGATTTTACCTTTCCATGAGTGTAGAAACATTGAAACTTAAAAAAGAATGATTTACAAAGACTTCCAGGTGAACGAGAAGGGGCTTCTCACCTTAACATGCTCCACCAATTGAAACATCTGCCTGAATATCAACTTAAAGCTGTTATAGCCTCAGTGGAAAAGGTGAGGCTTGTTATTATTCTCTCTCTCTCTCTCTCTTATTGATCTTTGATCTTTGGTAGTAAAGATCTTAGAGAATTGTTTTGTGAATTTTTCATCACATATATCTTTTTGAAAGATTTATTCTTTCATGTTTCACGTCATTCATTGAACGATTAGCACAGAAACATGTTGTGATGGTAATTTCATTATTCAAGAGAGTTTTCAGGTATTAAACTTTGTTTTAGCATATTATAAGTTATAATGAAAGAAAGAAATTTCATTTTTATAGATTGAGTGGTTGATGCGTGATGAGATTGCTGCCTTCCTGCTAGACACATTTCCTTTGGACAAGAATACGTTGGCCTTTGTTGCTAACCATGTTGCTAGTTCACCAGATCAGCCAAGTTGTTTAATGGAACGTGTTCCATTGTATTTTGTTTTTGAACCAGAACAGAGCCTTGAACGCTTCCTGCAGGTTAGAATCAACTACTTGTATGTTATGAATTTTGAGTGTCCTGCGCTGCTGTGTAAATGAAGGCTGTACATAAATTGGTGTGCAAGTTCTCCACGGGGTTAATTATTAGGAAACGCAGAATGATGTGTGTCATATCATACCTTTTAGAAATTGTTTGCTTTCAAATATGATAAGAACGCAAAGATATGACTATACAGGGATAATATAAATCCACCGTGCAGGAGAAAATAGTGAAGCGTGTTAATGTTGAAATTACAGCACTGCAAGTTATCATTCAAACATTTACAGAAGATGCTGAAAGCAAGCATTATTCATTTTGACGCTGGTGGCACTTTATTGCAAGAAATATCTACTATACACATTGCAATGTGCGTGCATCAACCATTGTAATTATAGTGTGTGGTTTTGCCGTGAAATCCTTAAGAGTCTTGGGAAGGCACTGCATTCACATTCAAATTATGGTAGTTGTGAAGGTCTAATAGATTGTAATCAGGAGCGGTTAAATGTCACATCCCATACCTAGTCCGCCTTTCTGAGACTACTGTGTCCAACTACTGAAAGGTAATGAGGGGGTTCTGACTTTGTCATTCACAGAATTGAATAGATATATGAGGATAAGCTGAGAGCAGCGCTTTTGTACAGGAATGAGTTTATTATTTTCCTGTGAATTTGGCTGCGGATAATTATGCGGGTCAGCCGTAATGGCCTTGCAACTTCAGGTTCTTGTCCTGCAGAGTTAAATGTGATGGTTCAAATATTTGTAATATGGCACCACTGAGGTTTGTTTAAACTTTTGTAGACCTTACCTTTACATTTTTGTACTATCTCTGAACATTGAATGTTGAGTAAACATTGGCGTTTGATATGTAGGATTTCCAGAACTTAAGCTTGAATGGATACCATTTGTGTGAAGAAGATCAGCTGTACTACCTTGTTCGCGACAAGCGTTCAACTTCAGAAGCTATCACTGGAGTGGTGGCCTGCAAGAGAAGTGGCTCTATGTTGCTTCCTGCAGCAGGCATAAAGCTACATCAAGGACACGTGGCACAGCATACAAAATTATGGACTGATATTGGATGCCCGCCAACAGCTGGTTCAAGTGAGTCCATGCAGTAATCTGTATTAAACATTGCCACATTAAATTCAGGATGTTCTTTACTTTAGTGCGCAATTTATGATACTGACATCTCATTGACCAGTGCACTGAAATCACATTAATAAGTAGCAGTCTTGATTTATAGCCATATAAATAATTTAGCCTGTGTATTGCTGTTGTAGGTGATGAGAATGTTCTTGTCAGTGACAACTTTCTTCAGACTTTAGAATCAAATGTCCCAGCATCAGGTTGTAGCAGGGAACGAGATGACAGTGACACCGATGAAGAATCAAGGCCACAGGCCCAACCGAGGCCTCGACCAAAGTCTAAACAGTTGGGTGCTACTGGTGTGAAGCCAGAGAGTACTGAAGGAGACTGGCAGGCGTTACAGGTTCACGCTTCCCCGGTTCCTTGTGTGACTTCACAGTTGGGAAATAATATAAGGTAACATCATCTGACTGAGCTGTGTAATTCTTTTTAAATTAATATTTACCTGTTACTGTTTGATTCAAATGTTAAATTAAGATTTTAAGCCTGTCACAGTGACAGTGGAGTCTAAGGCAGACTTTTTGGATGAATTTTGATGTGGCTGTGTGACAGCTGGGTCCCACAGTTATGGAACAACCCATCGGTCCGTAGCTCTCTTGCGATGCTTTCGTGTCTTTTCGAACCTGATGAAAGGAATGAATGATTCTGTTTTTGTTTGTCAGGAATACATCAGACAGTGATGAAAAGCCTGGGCCAGATCAGAGACCATTTGAGGCTGTCAACCAAACAGATGGCCCTAGTCCACATGATGATCAAAGCCTTCATAAGATCTCTGTTCTGCCTGACGGCCCTCACGAAAATGAAGTTCTTAGTCCTGGGGACAGTGTTGTTGGAATGATGAAACTTGTCCAGAGCTGTGGTTTTTGTGATACATCTTCAAGAAATGGTGATGTAGGAGGAGAAGGTGACAAGATTGCGACACGAGAGGTGTCTCCAACTCGGTGGTGCGCAGTAACGGCCTGGCAGAGGAGACAGCAACAGCAGCAGCAGCAGGGAACTCCAGGCCACAGGAGTGAGGTGTCGAGCATCGTGGAGAGTGCCGTGGACACCGAGGATGGTGAGTTATGCAGCGTGATTACACATTTATATGACATTTGATAGTTCTGAATTTAATTGTAGTTAACATCAATGGATCTTGAGAGAAATTTAATGTACACATGTTTTTATAGGTATATTGGTGAATACAGTCAGTTATGTGTTAGTTTTGAACTTCATGATTGGAACACACGTGAACTTTAGATATTTACCATTGTTTCAGAGGAACTTACTGTCTCCACATTTATAACTCCAAAAGAATTAAGGAACAGAGGGTTTATGTGCAGTGTAATTTTGTTACATGAAGATGGGCCTGACAGTTTCCTTCCCTTTTCCCTCTCTCACATGACTGATTTCCTATGTATTTTAGAGCAAATTATTTGCTGCATGCTACTGTTTGTGCAGTTTCTTTCTCTCCATATGAATAAGAATATTCTTTTGACAGGATATGAAGGATATGCTGGTGATAGTAGTGATTCAGCTGATGAATGTGATTGGCTACAGGACCTAGACATGCGGCGACCATCTTTACCAAAGTTCTGGCTGATCATGAAGGTGAACCAAGGTGCAGTGACAACGTACTTCCACTGCAGGTGCGATGATGTATAGTTGTAACTCTGTTGAACTCTTCACTATGCTTATGGATAATCAGTTTTATCCTTGCTGATGTCAGGCAGATTATTTTTTTTGCACTTTGCAGTTATATTGAATGAAGGATACGTACTCGGTATTTTTCTAGTCCTACTAACATTACAGTGAAGTCGGTTTTGCAGCAGCGCACCAGGTAATACACCACCTTAAATCTGAAGTGCCACTGAATCATGTAGCAGCGTTGAGAATCCTGAAGTTCTTTTATTGTTGGTTTGCTGTCCTGCAAGCAAATGCTTTTGTAATATCGTCCTATGTGAAAAGAGACAGTGACTTGTTATTTTGAAAATCCCTCTCCACTTATGTGTGTAGGTTGGGAATCCATCTCACATAATGTGTCAAGGTTTGACATCACTTGTTAGTGACCCATCAACACCAGAGGATTGAAGTCAGTTTAAATAACATGAGGACAAAAGTGATAAGCTTTAAATTAAAACAAATGCATGCTTACACTGTAGGATCTGTCAGAAATATTAATCAGATTTTGTAAATAGTCAGTGTAACATCTGCAAATATGAGGATGTGATTTACATTTCCTAAGCAGTTCATCTTGAGATGGTAATTCTCATGAAACTCAAAACAGGGTTCATTCCCATCCCCATTAACACATACTGAATGTCATACACTGTCTCCTGTAACAAGGGCTGTATTGAAGGTCTTGGTTTGAACTCGCATTGTCTGAATTTTTATTTTATATATTTCAAAATGTTGTTTGTGACTTTGCTACACTCAGCAGCCCAAATCCACTCTTTTCCTCTTTAAGATCATAGACAATGCACGGTGCTCACACGTGCAAAGAAAATTTTAGTGTCATCTATTGATTATAGAAATTACTATATCTCAGCTACAGTTGGTAAAACAATGTACTGTGGGCTACAGAGGTATTGCAAGAGATGGTGTGTATTACTGTAGGTGCTCTGGAGGGGAAGAGCAGTCTCCATACAGAAATGTTCAGCGTAACACAGTGGCTAGCATCAAGCGACTGTGCAAGGTGGTTAACCAGACAATGCTGCTGCAGAAATTGCATGACACCAGGATTTGTGATCAGTTGCTTGAACAAGACACTACTGAGGGCAGCTGGAAGCCCGGACAGGGTTCTGGGTCTGATGCTGTACTATCGCGTGCCAAGTCCGTGGAAGGTATGTCTGCATGGAAAATGTGGGTCTTCATTCTTTCTCCATTTCTCACTCCTAGATGCAGCAGCTTATGAAAGGAAGCATATTTGATGATCCCATTTATTGTATACAGCACGATTTGTGTAAAGATTTCGAAGATGTACTGCACAGCATATCACTTCATGCTGACCGAAAGACTCAAAATGTGCTTTCAGTATCTTGAGTTTCACATTGAGCATACCACATAATTTCTGTTGTACAGTGTAAATGTGATTAATTGCAGTAATAAAATCTTCACTGGTGCTTTATGTTTTGAGGTGACTTACAGTGAGCTATACTGTACCTTTAGTATTACATATTATTAGTAATAGTATAAGCAACAAATTATATTACAGACACACGAACAAGGAATGTCACACATGTCTGTCTGATATCAGTTCATAAGGTCGGAATTAATATAATATTTCATCTGAACAAACAGTCATCATTTATAACAAGAATTCACAAAGTGTATTACAGTTTTGTTTAAGGTTAAGATATTATTTACCCTCTAAAATTTATAACAAGAATTCACAGAGTGTATTACAGTTTTGTGTAAGGTTAAGATATTATTTACCCTCTAATCTCTATATTCCACTCATAATTGTTATTTGAGACAGGAAATAATTAATTAATTCCTAAAAATCAGAGGTGTGTATAAATTTAAATGCAAATAGCAGTACATTTTGCAGTTTCAGACAGATCACATGAAATAGGACCCTGAATTAAGAATATGACTGTGTTTTCATGTTTGTGCATGATTTGCAGAAAGTCAGCGGCCAGATACTCGAAATGAAGCGCAAGGGAGCTGCCCGGATCCAAGTCTGAAGTTCGCTCCAGGCTGGTTCTCCTGCAGTGTGGTGTGGGAGGCACATTTCACCTTGCACCCACGTCTGAAAACGGGGCCAAGCAAACCTGGCTTTTCGCGTGGCATACAGGCCTTGCATGCTGTTCTAAACCGTTTCTCTGTTAACAACCGTAAAAATATGTTTGTATATCAGGACAATTCTGGAAAAGTTTTCTACCTCAGGTGAGTTATTTTCAAATTTTTGAATAAGGTTCTTTAGGAGTAAGAATTTTTAATCTTGTGTTGGTGTTAACAGTGAAGGGACAGAATTATTATCTCATGACTTACAAATTCCTTTAAAAAATTGACATGTTAATGAAAATTTAAAATCTTTGACAGCAAAGTGCGTTATTTTTATATTTTAGAAAATATTAAGAACTTTTGAGTTTTCATTTTGCTACTTATTACCATATAAAATCTGTACACCATGGACTCAAAATTGCTTTTTTAAGTACTCTGTATGACTGTTGTTATACGCAGACCAAAATTTATTTGGAATATCTTTGTATATAATTTAATAATGAAGTCATGGATACATTCTGAAATAAATTTTCAGCTCAACTTTGCACCTTATAAGTAATCTGGTGCTTAGAATACAATATCAGTTTTACCACCTTATATGCATTATTATGTTGATGTGTATAAATATATTCTACAGTCAGAGTTTTGTCCTGTACGTTATGTAGTTCAAGCACCAGTCATTGGCTTTACTTAATCTGAAACTCACATAATGGGTTATAATCTGCACCTCAGTTTCAAAAATAAACTGTGGACTTAGCAGATAATCCATTAATATGCCTCCTCTGAGTAAGGTGCATATCACCACATGTTGTTTGTTGAGATGTGGTATAGGTAGAATTCTACCATCTGCTCTGCATATGTGCACATGAATGGCAGTAGTCTGATTCTTTTTAGGGGAACTATCCATTGTTTTTTTCACATATCAAAACCACAGTTTTGAAAATGTGTTTTATTTTTTGGGCTGCTTTCTAGAGTAAGTCACAGCCCTGGACTGAGGGGCCAAACATAATGTAGATTTATTCTTATCCAGTCACCTGAAGTCAGAAGTAGAACCCATTTTGAAACTTTGTTGCTTTTTATGCATGATAAATTAAAAATTAAAAATAGTCATGCATACTGTGTCACATATTGTCAGAATAATTTAAACTTTGCAAACATAAGTTTGTTCCCTCAGCTTCAAATTAATGAGGTTTTACTGTATGTGCTATATGAACTCTGGTGTATACATTTGGCGAAATATTAGGCATTGACCACCATCAGTGCTGGTATAGTAGTGTGTGATGATGCATCATTTGATACAGCAGCCTTCTCGTTGTTTACAGGCTGCATGAAAATGTTCGCAGTCACAGCAAGTCCACCCCTCCAGGAGGTATTGGCCGCTCTGACACAGAGGATAATCTGCCTGCCCCAGTGTCTCGAAGCTCTTCCATTGCCTCCCTGAATGCACGTAAACAAGTAGGTAGTGCAGCGGGAATTCCAGTAACAAGTGAAGGTGTTCCTGAAGAAGGTGTAAGTCAGGCACAGGTAATAACTTTAGTTATGTGATGAAACAGCAGATTTATACAAACCCATTTCTGTTTGTGAAATCTTTTGTCTATCCAGGTTCAACTGTGCATGAATGGTTTTAGCCATTATAAATGTCACCGGATTTGTTACTACATTTTACTGTAAAAAAGTAGTCCTTATTTGTTTCTATGCATATAACTGAGCTAAATTGTAATGAGTTAATTATAAACTGGTTGCAGGCTTCTGGTACACATTAACATATATTCAGTGCGTACTGAGCTGAATGCTGTTAGGGTGATATGCTTAACTGAAGTGAAAAACAAGTTCCATGACCAATACCCTATCTGACTTTCAGCTAGGTTCTGCAAATTATTGTTTTATGAATTACCATTTCACTGTATTCCATCAAAATTAGTTCAGAAAGAAAGTGGTTATTTGATGGTGATATTGATGTTTAACAGGGAGGTGGACGGTCACGTGTTCAGTCCTTTGGCGAGAAGGAGCTTTACGTGCAGACTTCATCAACAGGCCTGAGCTCTAGTGACGGTATCGCTACAACCCCAACACCTTGCGTTACTCCACAGCCGATGTTGCCTCGTTCTGAAGACGCCGTTGTCCTGAAGGTGCATGGTATTTCAGAAGCAGGTAGAGTATTCATGGCAAATGTAAAGCACCCGAAGTGTACAGTATGAAACACATGGTCAGTGTTGCTGCTGCTACCATCACTTTTATAGGAGGTTTAATGAGGGGCTGGCTATTCGGACTCCTGTATGTTGTGGTTATCCTCAGTCCGAGCCAGAAAATGTCATGGTAATCTCTTAAAATGGGTCATATCTACTGCCTCATCGCTTGCAACTTACCAGTCACAGTTATTTTTATCTCCCATATGACTGGTGATTACTTTGCTTAATTGTTTCATAGGTCCTGAGATTAAGGAAGAGCTAGTACAAGTTCTTCAAAACAGACTGGATGATGCAGTTTTGGAGGTTTTGTCTGTTATGCTGGCAAGGAATCCTATGTGCAAGCTTACACCTGATGATGTCCATTTCATACAAAAACCTTTAAAGGCTCCTGAATCTGTGATTCAAGTAGGTATATGGGCTCAAAAACTTCACCTCTCTAATATAAAAGATCACATATGATCAACTCTCACCAATCTGAGTTTGTTCATTTTGTTCATGGGAACATGGAGCTACTGCTGTGCAAAAAACATATACTGATTGTAATTATAGTTCACCCTCAGTGGACTAGTGGTTAGCGTGCTCGCCACTAGACCCAAGGTTCGCGGGTTCAAACCCGGCCGAGGTCAATAGATTTTAAAAGGTGATAGAAATCCGTAGCACAACTTCCTTCGGAGGGGAAGTAAAACCGACGGTCCCATGTCGTATATTTGCGGCATGTAAAAGCACCTTAAGAGCATGAACGAGATGTTTCGTAAGCAAAATTTAGCAGCCATTTCAGACCCAAGTCTCTCCTGATTTTCTACTAGATGGATCTAGCAGACAAATCAGGATTGAGTAGAAATTGTGCGGAGGCAGTGGGCTTGTCACTCACTATTCACAAACGCACACTACAAAGACAAGGAAACCTCCCACATGGAAGGAGGCCAAGGCCTGAACTTGGGCTGTAGCGCCGTTGGATGGGTGAATTGTAATTATAAACTGTATTTAGCTGCTGTCTGTACCTGTAGCTGGTCAATTGTGATAAAACAGTCATACACCGAGCATGAAAATAATGAGTTTCAGTCTTATAAAACACTTTTAATTTGTCCAACTGACTTGTTACAGATGTGGCAATTCATTTCACTTCATGAAATTTACTTTACAAAAATTAAACTAAACAAATATAAACTAGAGATCCCATGATGGGCATTTGTGATCAGTTTAACGCGTATCTAATTTTTGAAGAGCGTGAAGCATTGATCATTCTTGTTCAAGTTTCATGATTTCCAACACTGTAAGGATTATTGAATGGTACTTAATTTTTATCAGTGTTTTCTTAATCAGTCCAAATTAGAATGGAACTACATGCATAGTTTGTTTGCCTGAACTCTTTGCACACGTAACTGTGATATTTTACAATCCTTGGATATATTTCTGTGATGTGTTTGATGCTCGCAATATGTGCTTCTGTTGCAGTTCTCAGTCCAGTCCCAC